TGCCCTGATGTGGGACAAGTGAGCCATCATGTGGTAGTAATATCATGATATGTGTAGTTCTAACAGTCTTAAGCATCAGAAGCTCTTTGTCTGATTTTGTATTTATGATAACTAATATCGTGATTTGTTTTTTTTAAAGATTTTATTGATTAATTGATTGATTTAGAGAATGAGTGGGAGGAGAGGCAGAGGGAAAAGGAGAGAAAGAATCTCAAATAGACTCTAGGCTGAGTGTGGGACCTGACACAGGGCTCAATCCCACAAGATCATGACCTGAGCTGAAATCAAAAGTTGGACGCTTATCTGACTGAGCCACCTAGGCGCCCCTTCAATGATTTGTTTTCAAAATAAAATTTCCAAGTACTCCTCTTTTGATTTCCCACAGCAGTTTAATTTGGGAGTGTGCTGAGATTGCCAAGAAGGCTATTAAAAGTGCAACCACTTATCTCTGTGAATCAAGACTTTTTCTTTATGTTGAGCAACCAAAACCAAATACAAAAACAGATTGGATATTAAGGCTATATCATGATAAAGCTATGCATTTATAATGTAATTATACCTTAGTCAATGAGAGAATACTGATTTTCATTGTCTACTACTATCACTTTCAATATGTTTCATATAGTAGATTTTTTTTTATAGTAGGGTTTTTTTTTTTTTAAAGATTTTATTTATTTATTTGAGAGAGAGAGAATGAGAGACAGAGAGCATGAGAGGGAGGAGGGTGAGAGGGAGAAGCAGACTCCCTGCTGAGCAGAGAGCCCGATGCGGGACTCAATCCCAGGACTCCAGGATCATGACCTGAGCCGAAGGCAGTTGCTTAACCAACTGAGCCACACAGGTGCCCTATAGTAGGGTTTTTAATTGGGTTCAGATTTCATTTGAAAGAAGGAATAAGCTGCTAAAACATGTTTGAAAACTGCCTTACCACGTTGTCCTCCTGTCACTGGCCTGCTTTTGATTTTCAAATTAATCAATTTTTTTTTTTTTTTGAGAGAGTGTGAGTGGGGGAATGGGGCAGAGAGGGAGAGAGAGAATCTCAAGCAGACTCCACACTCAGCGCAGAGCTCAACATGGGGCTCAATCCCACAACCCTGAGATCGTGACCTGAGTTGAAATCAAGAGTTGGATGCCCAGCCAACTGAAACACCCAGGCGCCCCAAATTTCTCAAGATTTTTATAATTATGTTGACTATGAATTTGGTTTGCCTTTGATTAAAAAATATATCTAGGAGGTCTAGCAACCTTAAAATATTGAAAATGTTTAGAAGAAATAACCAATTTTTTCTTTTGAAATTCTTTTAATTATGCTACCTCAGAGTCATTTCCAAATACAGACTTAGTAAAAGAAAACCTGTTTCCTTTTGCTTTGATACTTTTGAATAATGAGCAAGGTTTTGCAGCTTTTACAATCCTAGGAATAACGGACTGGAAACCAGTCTCCTTAGTTAAAAATAACTTTTATAAAGTTCCTTGTTTATTTGGGTGAAAATTGGATAAAAAGGATAGAACATGGTTTGATCAATATAATTTTGTCAAGCAACAATTAATACTGAGTTAATACCTGAGATTCAAAAATGAAGTCATGGTCCTTTGAATTTAAGAGTCAAAAAGAAAAATAGGTGAGCTGAAAATTACAATATAATCTGATGAGTGCTATAACAGAGGAACTGAGTGTACTATCTTTGTAGGGAAGTGGTAGGGACAAATTGAGAAAGGAGGTGGTATTTGAGGGATGTCTTGGAAGCTAGTAGGTATTTGCCAGGGTGGTGAGGGAATACTTGCATCTGAAGAGCAACATGAACAAAAGCCTGGAACCCTTAAAATATTTAACAGTTGGGGGATCAGTGAATGTAGTTCACTGTGACTAGAGAGTAGGGTGTCTTGGGGGGAGAAGGTGTGACAAAAGATAGGATGTTGTTAGCTTGGTGGAAGAGCAGCTGAAGAATTTGGAAAGATAAGTTGGTCTGCACTGAAGGGCCAAGTGTGCCCTGTTGAAAAATTTAGATTTCTTGTTTATGCTATCGAGATTTGCAGTTAGGAAAGCCTTATGTTTTAGGAAGAAAATGCTGGAGGATGGATTAATAAAGGGAGAAATTGGTTCATTTACTCAATAAACATTTATTGATCACCTACTGTGTGGAAGTAACTATTCTAAGCACTTGGGCCATAACAGTGAACAGAAAGACAAAGATATCTGTTTTAGTGGAGCTTATCACTTCTAATGTAGGATGGTAGACAATATACCAATAAACATAGTAAATACATTAATCATATGGCATATAAGGAGGTAGTAAATGATAAGAAAGAAGAAAAAGTAGACTAAGGGAGTGTAAAAATGCCAGGTGGGGAGTAGCTGCAATTTGAATAAATTGGCAAGATGTACGGTTCAGAAGCTGTTATAGTGATCCAAATGAGAAATGATGAGGATTTAGGCTTAAGTGTGGGACTTTAGAATGCAGAGAAGGAATAAATTGGGAAACATATTTTTCTTTTTCCTTTTTGATGCTTTTTATTGTAAGATAAAACACAGATAGAAACTGTATAATACAAACCTATAATGTCATCAATTATAAGATGAACGACCTTGTAACAACCACCCTGGTAAAAAAAAATGAAACTTTGCCAGCCAAACCAGAAACCCCTCCATTTGCCCCACCCCAATCACAAACTCCTTTCTCCCAAGCAACCTGATTTTTATGGTAATCACTTTCCTGCATTTTTGAATAGTTTTATTGACCAAATACATATCCCTCACATGAAGACACTCTCAGTCTTGCCAATTAAAAAGTTAAAAAAATTTTTTTAATTTTTAAACTTTTTTAAAGATTTAATTTATTTATCTATTTGAGATTGAGAGAGAGAGAGAGAGCTCGCGAGAGCAGGAGTCAGTAGAGGAGCAGAGGGGAGGGAGAGGGAAGGGGAAAGAATCTCAAGCAGACTGAGCATAGAGCCTGGCATGGGGCCAATCCTACGACTCTGAGATCATGACCTGAGCCAAATCAAGAGTCAGTTGCTTAACCAACTGAGCCACACAGGCGCCCCTAAAGAAGTTTTTTTGATATGTCTTTTTAAATCAACAGGTTTTCTCTCCTTCCGTTTGTTTTCCTTACACTTTATGAGCTAAAGAACAGAGCCATTTGACCTTTAGGATATCTCATATCCTGGATTTTTCTGATTGCACCCTCATGGTGCAGCTTAACATGTTCCTCTGTCCTTTGTATGACTTGTAAATTGACAGCTGGACCAGGGGCTTGATCAGACTGAGGTGTCTCCCTTTGGCCATGACTATTGGCAAGTGGAGTGTTCTTTCGTTAAGAAGCACATAATATCTGGTTGTCTTTTGCATTGTTAACAGCTGTTTCTTCTCATTGCCTAGAATTAGTAATTTATTAGGGGCTGCAAAATGGTGATACTCTAATTATATCACATCTGTTTTAGTTATTAGCTGGAATACTTTTATCAGGAGACATTTCCCCTTATCTATTATTTAGTTACCCTGTGATGCAGTTTCTATAGGAAAGGCAAGATATATGCCTTTTCCTTTATTTACTGGTTTTCAAGGTAATACATTGGCTCTCTGTCATCCTCAATTTTTATTACTCTATCAGTATTTTCTCCTCAGTATGGCCTTGTCTGGAAAGGGAGTGCTGGTTGGTCAGTGTCAAGAATTCATAGGTGCTAGGCTGCCACAGTCTCTTCAGACCTCATCTGCTATCTCTAGTTAGGCAGAACCCCTCCAAGTTTTAGCTCCTGTTCTAAAATTGGCTTTTCATATGTTCCAGTGAAAACAGTGTTGGCTATTTTGGGGGTCCTCCTGTTTTCACATCCATCACATATCCCACTGCTTCCTTCTGCTTTTTCCTGCACAAATGCTAATACCATACAGGTCTGTGGCTGTTGGTTTGTCCCCAGCTGCTTGTATTTTAACTTTGTTATCACCAAGTTTTGTAAATGTTTTCCATGGGATTTTGGTTTTCCTATTCAGTTGCTTGGTCTGTTTTTATGTGGAAATCAGGGAGATTAACAAATAAAACAAAAAACCACCCAAACCAAAAAATAACTCACTACCTCCAATGCCATCTTCCCAGAAAGAGGTGTAATCTTTGAGGGGTTAGAGTGAAAGTAAGAATAACTGAAGTTTCTGACTTAGAAGATCTGGTGCCTGGTAATTTCAGTGATGAGGATTAAAAAATAGAAGAGAAGGAACAAAGTATGAGTGGAAGATAAGATCAAGTTTTGATTTCTTAGGTTTGAAATGCTTATCATGAGTTATCCTAAAATTATTGCCTTCTTAAGGAATAGACTTTTAGAACTTGATAGAAAGAGCTAGGTGATGAAAGATCAACACTGAAAATAAAGCCATTATAAATTGGACAAATTATTACTTTTTGTTAAAATTACAGTGTGAAAAACCAGTAGAATAGAAAGCATGCACTTAAAGATGAAGGAGACACTAATAAGTATTTGTGAACTAATAGTTTTATGTGTTTTCCATAAATACGCACAACAAATGAAGGTTTGCATTGAGCAGCAATCTGAAGAGGAAGACACTTTTCAAAGATCTATTTATAAGGGATGCAACTGGCTTTTTGGTCATTAGGTGTAAATGCCGCTGTATATGTTTGATATAATATTAAGAGAATGAATTTATAAAATCTGAGTATTTTTCCTACTAGAAAAATAGATATTAAATATTCATAAGATAAAAATCCTAGATAAAAATTTAAGTATTCATAAGCTGCAAGTTTTTATATTTTGAGTAGACTGCAGTGTACCATCACAGATCCTGTATTTTAAGAGTAGATGAAAAAGTCTTCTCTCTTATGAGCTATTCTAGATAATTCTAAAGTGCTCTGACTTCAAAAAGGGATTTTTAAAATAGTATGCACATCTGGATACTCCTTTTTAAAATTTTCATTCATATTAAATATCAACCCAAATGACTTACTTTTGACTTCTGTCTTCTCCTTTCTTTTTCTTCTTCTTTCTAAAATTAGGCCTGTCTTCAGAGACCTGAGATTAAACTTGAATCACTAAAAGAAGATATTAAGGAATTCTTTAAAATATCAGGTTTGTAAGTTGCTTTTTTCCTCCTAATTCTTTAAGGCAAAATAAGGGAATACTTTATTTGGAGGGAATATTTTATCCTCAAACTTCCAATTACTCATTAAAAATTGTGGAACAGTGGGTAGATAGGTTTCTATTTGATGAGAGTTAGAACTTTCAGATATTTCAATAAAATGCTGCAAAAATTCAGGAACGCTGTGGGAATCACTGCATTAAATTAATCAGTTTTGAATGCTGTTTACTTCCTGATCAACATACATCCTCAATGTATGAAGAATCTCCCTCACTAAGCACTTCCTCTTTTACTTTTCATTTGTGGTTTCTTTTCCTTCTACACTTTTTTCCCCTTCCTCCTTTCTATCCTTTCAAAGAAAAGAAAAGAAAATGCTAATTTCTTTTAGAGCAAGAAGAGAAGTTCCCTATTCTAACCTTTGCACACAGAAATTGAGATGTTAAGTGGTTTACTTACCCAGAAAAATTCACGTAGTTAGCAGCCAAGCTCACTGGTCTGATGGTACCTCATAATAATGTTTCTGTCGTTCAGGAGTTTACGGGCTAGTTAGTTGTAACTAATTGCTTATGATTGATCTTTGTCAGGGTGCTTGGCTGTTTCTTGCCCTTCCCTTGGCACATTCCTGATAGTACTAGTAGCACTGTTTTGGTATTCACTGAGCAATGGAGGAAGGATTTCTCCCATCCGGAGAAAAGGGTACAACAGTTTTACTTAAAAGACAGTGTCATACTGATAATTTTGCTACTCAGTGTTTGCCACTGGACATAGTGAATGTATAGGAAATAATTCCTTAATAACACTTACACAGCAATTGGCGATTGATAAAGTTCTTTCACAAATGAATATGATGTTAGAGTTTTAGTGAGATAAATTTAATTATAATGTATGCTTATTTTTAAAACTAACACGTTCATATATTTTATTCTTTTTTAAAAAATAGGTTGGGAGAAGAAACTTCAGAATGCTGTTTATAGTGAACTGAGTGTGTGAGTTTTTCCTACCTATTTTGAGATACTGTTATGTTTAGCTGTATTTACTTTGTAAGTAATGAATATAGTATTGCTGTGTACACTCATTATATTGTTATTTTTCATTAGTATTTATATAACATTCCACGTAAGTTAATACATTTAAAACTTACAGTCCTGCCTGAGAATGAATAATGAATAGGTGGGGTTTTTACCACCAAAATTTTTACATTAACAATTCATTTATCCAGTGTAGGTTAGGGAAGTAAGTTACTATTTCAGATAACTGAAGCTTATCAACTTCTTTTTATTGTGGCCATTTTGGATATTACCCTTTTTCTGTCTTTATAAAGCAACCATTCTAAATATAATTACTTTTTTTTTTTGCAAAATTGGTGTCATTAGTAAGAAAATCAGTGTTTTTGTTAATCTGGACTTGCCCTCAGAGTCTGTTGAGGTGTATAAAACTATTTGTCATTATAAAGAATAAAGATGTAGAGTTAGCTTTTATAGTTTATTCAATATTCCATTATTCATCAGTTATGTATTGAGCCCCTACCATGTGCTAGCACTATGCTAGGCACTGGGAATATAGTATAGAACAAGGAATCAATTCCTACCCTCATGGAGTTTATAGTCTAATGGAGTTCCTATGTCTTTTTTTTTTTTTTTTTTTACTGCTATCAGTGTGCCTGTGTCTCTAGCATTCTCTAGATTCTAACACTTCTGCTCCTAACTTGTCCCTTCTAATCTGCCGTTAACTGAGAAACAAGATAATCTAGTTTATCAGAACTGTTTCTAAAATAGAGACGCAGATGAAGGCCTGTGGACCTGTGCTTGGACACACATTTTAAAAATTAGTATTTACTTCTTTGCTTGTCACCATTTTCCCAGTTGATTTATAAATTCTTAAATAATATCATATTTAAGTGCTATTGAAGTTGACTGTGACCATATCCCTGATACTAGTCACCAAGGAATAGATGTTTATCATGATAAGTAAGGTTTTAAATGTACAATATGTATAGAGATGCCACAGGTTGCTTAAACTAATATGAACATGGTGATTTTTCTCTTTGCCTGTTATACAGGAAGCTTGTTAACTTTCTTTGTTTCCAGTACTGGTGGAATAAAAGCATCTGGTTGTGTGTAATTACAAACAGTGGCTTCTCATCTGAGGAGATTTTACTGGTGATTGCTATTTTTGTAGTCTAATCCATTCCTGAAAATTGTTCAATGAGTGAACAGTGAGTGCCTTTTTACTTGATGGCAGGGACAGTATTTCATTTATTGTCTTATTTTCAATATCCTAACAATAGACATGAAATAAATATTTTTGAATAACTTGTTGGGATTTTTGAAGGAGTAAATAATACTACTTTTTTTACTCATTTGGGTTTTGAAGAAATTGAGAAATAAGATAAAACATAAAGGCAAGTGGGTGATCAAAATTATACTTCGATTACTGATAAAGACTAGATAAGAGGACACAGCTTAGTGCAAGAGCAAAATGAGTCCTTTAACTGAACTCCAGAACTAAGTAGACTTAACCTTCCAATTAAATAACATTGGTGAGCATGTTCAGTTTATTACTCCAAAATTTAAAAGTTGGATAAGGCACTAAACCTCTTCTGTGGTGTAGCAAGTAAAGCCCTGGAGAGAGGCCAAGAATGTGATGGTAATGGAGCTCTTTTCACAGGGAGGGACACATCCAGGGTGGAGAAGAAGTGTTTCCCCTAACATAAATCAGAAGAATAAAGGGGACTGAGTATACTGTGTTGTATTTTTCACTGGCAGAAACCATTAGATGGACAAGTAGAGAGCGCAAACAGTAAAGTTGAAGAATTCACTAGGCTAAATAGAGTAGAAAAAATATGTTCTTACCTAATAAAGGTGTAGATACATGAGCTGTACAGATGATACCTGAAAACTGTTCACTTCATTTTAGTAAACATGTCAAAAGATTTTTGTCCAATTCTTGTTTAAAAGAGAGAGAAAAATTTTTGTATTCTGTTATTTACCTGAAACTTTAATTGTAGCCTAGGTTAGTTCTTCCCACTTAAAATTGACTACTTAATTGGGGTGCCTGGGTGGTTCAGTCCGTTAAACGACCAACTCTTGGTTTCACCTCAGGTCATGATCTTGGGGTCATGGGATCAAGCTTATTTAATTATTGTTGTGTTAATATTTAATAGGCAATTTACATAATCAAATGAGCCTTTTATGTAAGCACTGTGCTAAGCACTTTAAATACATTACCTTATGGAATGTAATCTTCACAACAACTCTATGATTGTGGAATTTATTATTATAACCATTTTGCAGAAGAGAAAACTAAGGCTCAAACTACTTAAATAGTTTGCTGAAGATCATATGGCTAGTAAATGGTAGTGAATGGGTCTTGACCTCCAGCTGTTTGATACTACATCTCACATAGTGTTTATCTTATCTCTCGCCTGGATTAAAAGTGTTATGAAACAAGAATTATATTTTATATTTCTTTTAGTACCTTCAAATAAATGGTATTGAGTCAGCAGATAGGTAGTTATTGGGCCACCAACCAATGCTAACACACAATAAATATTTGTTGAATTGAGTATACCCTGTAGATATTAATCCTAAACTTACTAAAAAGATTTAATTAAGACAGTCTTTAAATGGAACATGCACCTTTTTTTCTGTCTTAGTTGTACTTTGTGTAGAACAGTTGATAAAGAATTAGGTTACCTGTTATTATCCTTTAAGGAATATAAATAAACCTTTTTAAAGTCTTTCAATATAGGTATATATTATAAAAACATATACCATAGTCTACTGTTATAGTAGATAGATGCAAATATCTGCCATACTTTAGAGAGGTGTGAATGTTGAACAGTAGCAGACCAAAAATGGAAAGATTTTAGATAATGGGTACCTTTCACTAGACCACAAGATATGGTTAAGTCTTTATAGACATTCATGGCATTTGCTGGAAGAGTGTCAGGCAGTAGACCAGAGTACTTCCAAAATACTGATCACATAGTTCTTCATTGCCTTCTTTTGAATGTTACTTTAAATGTACTTGCTATGTGTTATGCACTGAGCTAGGAATTGAGGATGATGAACAAGCTGCATAGTCTTTGCTTTCACGGAGCATATATCTCAGTGGAGCACACACAGTTTAAGGAGGCAATTATAGAATAGTACAAGTACTATGATGAGGAAGTACGCAGAACACATAGGGCAGGCAATTAACTCACGTTGGGGATATCATGATGGCTTACCAAAGGAAACAATATTCAGATTCAGATAAAAAAGCTAAGGTAGTGTTAATCTGGGGAAGGAGTAGAGAAGAAAAGTGCTTCAGGAAGAAGGGAGCAACAAGCTTAGAGATTTAGAAGTGGAAAAGTGTGGCACATTGGAGGAGCGAAGTTGTATGGCTGAGTGGTATGGGGAAAGGGACATGGTGAAGGATGATCCCAGATATGTAGGTGGGGATGTGCTTCTTCCTCAAGGCTTGCTATCTATCTATCTATCTATCTATCTATCTATCTATCTATCTATCTATCTATCGATTTATTTATTTATTTGAGAGAGAGAACATGTGGGCGCTGCGCTGGGAGAGGGGCAGAAGGAGAGAATTTTTCAAGCAGACTCCATGCCAGGTGCAGACTTGGGGCTTGATCCCACGATTCATGAGATCATGATCTGAGCTGAAACCAAGAGTCAGCTGCTTAACCGACTGAGCCATCCAGGCGCCCCTCTAAACTTTCTTAGACGGGATCCTAAGAGCATTTGGGTGTCATTTTAGAATTTTAAGCAGAGTAGTGACATGATCGTATTTGCGTATTATATTCACGCAGCAATGTACTGGTTATCTAGTATGTGCCGTGCATTATGCTAGACACTGGAAATGGAATTACTGGTGAATAAGGAAGACATTGCTCTTGGCTAAATAGCCAGACAAATTGGCAAGGAGGTTGAAAATAGTATGGAAGGAGGGGAGACTGCTTAAGAACCTGTCAGATGAATACAGGCAAGAGATGTTGGTTGTCTGTCAGTGGGTGGAAAAAAGATGAGAAGTATTTCCAGGGACTTAAGGCACAGGAAGAGGCAGGAATCAAGAGTGATGCACAGGTTTCTTCAACCCTCGTCTCTTCATATAAAAACATGAGCTCTACAAGGACAGAATTTTAGCCTATTTTGTTTACTGATATTTCTATTACCTTAAACACTTAGTAGATTCTTATTAAATATTTCTGAATGGGGGCGCCTGGGTGGCTCAGTTGGTTAAGCGGCTGCCTTCGGCTCAGGTCATGATCCCAGGGTGCTGGGATCGAGCCCCACATCGGGCTCCCTTCTTGGCGGAGAGTCTGCTTCTTCCTCTCCCTCTGTCTGCCGCTCTGCCTACTTGTGTTCTCTATCTCTCTGTCAAATAAATAAAATCTTTAAAAAAATATATATATTTCTGAATGAATAAAAATCTAACTTGATTTGGCTTCACATTAATGATTTTTGAGTTGCTACCTCTTCTTACCTATTTATGGATAAACTTCTTTGTGCACTAAATAACTTAAGATTATCAGTAAGTTCTCTCAAGTTTCAATCCTAAATTTCTAAGTTTTATTAAATTTAGAGATAATTATCATTAAAATTAAAGGATTTTGAAAAATATTTAATTCTAAAGTATGGTCCCTTACAAATGATATAATGAACAGTATGAAATAGATGGTTTTTAAACTATCTTGCATATATGAAGAAATATTGAGGTATATATATCATTATTTTTTCATTTGTGAGTGGGGAAAGATGATTTATTTAGGTACATGGAGTACAGATTTTAGTGGAAAAAACAATTAGCTAGAAATAATTAGTGAAACTGTTTTAGAGATTGGGTTGAACAGGTTGCTTGTTCTATTCCAGAAATGTTTCCTTTGGACAGTTGAGCATTTTACTCTTAGGTCCTGGGGTAGGTATAATTAAGCTTGGTATATCATAAACACTTTACATGTTGGTGTCCCACTTTGGATGAGGCATTTCTTGAAAATTCACTGTGTGGGGGGCTCCTGGGTGGCTCAGTTGTTAAGTGTCTGCCTTTGGCTCAGGTGATGATCCCAGGGTCCTAGGATCGAGCCCCGCATCGGTCTCCCTGCTCAGCGGGAAGCCTGCTTCTCTCTCTCCCACTCTCCCTGCTTGTGTTCCCTCTCTCGCTATCTCTCTCTGTCAAATAAATTAAAAACATAAATAAAATTTTAAAAAAAGAAAGGAAATTCACTGTGTGGTTCTCGAGTATTAGAACATGGTTGCTTTGCTGTAGGCACAAGTGTTACGACTAATTTCAGTAGGAGTTATTTGTTGTTGTGAAAGAGACTGGAATCTCTAAGTAAATGTTGAACTGTTATGTTTTCCTTTTGTGCTTTCTGTGATTTCATGTCACTGTGTCTCAATCATTATATTCCAACCATTCTGGCTTTTTCTGATTTTTAAACATTCCAAATGTTCCTAACTCAGGGTCTTGTGCTTGCTGCCCGTCTGCCTGAAATATTCTTTCCCTAGATCTTTGTATGGTCAGCTCCTTCTCACTTATGTCTTAGTTCAAGTATTAGCTCCCCTAGATACTTACTTACCCTTGCACATCACTTCTATCTCATTACCCCACTTTCATTTTCTCATAGCATGTATCACTATCTGATATTGTTCTATTAATTTGTTTCTTTTTGTAATTATTGACTGTCTTTCTTCACTAGAATGTTAGGTATATGAGAACAGGGGGTGTCATCTCAATTACCACCATATACTTAGTACTTAGACGGCTCAAATATTTGTTGAATAAATAAATGTTTTCTTAATAAAAACAATACATTTTGAATATGAATGTAAAGTTACCTAGAAAACAAGACATTAACATTCTTAAATTTTTATTAAATTTGTGTATTATATATTAAAACATAGCTCTTTTAAAGATTGTATTTATATTATCATTTAAACTATGTAAAAAATATGTAATCATATGGAAAAGGAAATTGGGAGAAATGAAAACAGTTGATATGTTAGCAAGTTCATGGATTTTTTCAACCTTAAAAAATTCCTCTAAATGTTAAAATATTTATATGCTAAAAATAACAGTTCTGACAATTTTTACATGAGCATTTACAAAGCTAAGTAATTTTAAAATTACTTCAGATTATGAATTCAGATTATTGTGCAGCTCAACTTTTAACAAGTAAATTGCTAATCTAAAACTACAGTATTAGTAGGATAAGAAAGCTTTATCATGTTGTTGTACCTTCTATAAACACACAAAATTGCTAACAGATATTCTGTTTCATTTATGACATGGACCACAGAGGTAAGTAATTTCTAACAAAGAGAATTAATTAGTTATCAAGATAATGCACAATATTTAGCTGCCTCTTTTTATCCCTAGGTTTCCTTTACCTAGTCATCCTGCTGCACCCCCTGAACATCTGAAAGAACCTTTGGTTTACATGAGGAAAGCACAGGTTGGCTGTTGTTCATTTTTAATTTTATTTTTCCATGCTAAGTTATATAATACAGAATGAAAGATCCTAATTGGTATCAGGAGTATATATTATTCATTATATGGAAGCCTGGGTAAGAACCACTCCAGCGATGTGAATAGAATTTGCATGCTCTTCCTTTCTACTTTTAGCAACCAAGGAGCACACCTACTTAACTACAGTAATCCTGAAAATGTTGAGTAGAAGGAAGAAAAAATCATGTACCATACTGGCCTGAAATTTTAAATGTGATAAAAGTATTATGTGACCGTTTATTCCTCATGCTCTATGATAGTAAAAGAATGAAATGGGAATGAACTGACTCACTCTTCCCTTAAAATACTGGCTTTTGAAGCTGGTGATACTGATAACTGTATTTGAAATAGGTTTGTTCTCACAGCAGGCTGCTATATACTAACTGTATTCTTCTGTCACAGAACTCAAATGAACCTGCTATCTAAAATGGGCTGAAACAACTAAAATTCACTTAAAAAAAAGAAATGATTTTATTTTTTTTTTTAAGATTTTAAATTTTATTTATTTGAGAGAGAGAGAGCACAGGAGGGGGTACGGTCAGAGGGAGAAGCAGACTCCCCGCTGAGCAGGGAGCCTGATGCAGGGCTCGATCCCAGGACTCCGGGATCATGACCTGAGCCGAAGGCAGTTGCTTAACTGACTGAGCCACCCAGGCGCCCCAAAAAGAATGACTTTAAACAGAAAAACTGTAAAGAACTGTTAAAATAGAAACTTAGGCCCTGTCACATGCCCCTGACCTCTGGACTGTTCACCTCAGTGTGGCCTGGCGCACCTCTGCAAGCCTTCCTTGCGGTACTGAGTGTGACTCTCTGCCGCTGCCAAGGGGTTTAATGGGCACTACACAGTCAATCTTTCTCAACCATAGTCTCAGAGATTATCATGAGAAATTTCAAATATACCCCAAAGAACTCTCGTAAACCCATCACCCAGCTTCACTTATCATAGTGGTTCGTTCTGGTCCTGAGAAAGAATCTGCTGCTTTGAGTTATCACAATCCAAGCGGTGGGTGTGGGGCAGCTTTTTTATTTTTCAACTTTTATTTTCATTTAAAAAGCTCTCAAAATCAGATGGTGAAAGGAAGCAATATAAACAAAAAACATGGAGATATTTGAGGAAATATGTAATATGTTCGTATCTCTGGGTGGTACCTTTAGGTCTAACAATCAGACAGTATTGTTGATATGTCATAAAGCAAAATCATTAAATGATACATGTGTGAAAAAATTGTTCGATCTTTTGTTGTAAAGATATAAACTCAAAAAAATGAAAAGATTGGGTCTGAATATTTTTTTGGTGAAATTTGAAAATTTCCAAAGGGTTTGGAGAAAGTATCAGTTTTAGCATATTAGGTATAGGAAAGAAGATAATAAAGTTGTTTTCCTATCATGACGGAAAAGAAGAGGTAAAGAGGTAAATCACAGGTCCATTCTTCAAGCCTGCTGCTAGTTGCTGAGAACACATAGGAAGGGTAAGTGTATGTATCGTGTATAGATAGATGCCACTCCGCTCTCTTCTTCCCAGACTTGCCCATTCACTCGGGGCCTGGTGCACTACAGCCCATTGGCCAGATCTGCCCTGCCACCTGCTTTTGTACAGCAGGCAAGCTAAGAATATTTTTTTTACATTTTCAACTGGCAGAAAAGCCAAAAGAATAGTAATATCTGTGACCCATGAAGATTCTAGGAATTAATAAAACACCTTTTATTGGAAAATAGTCTCGTTCATTTATTTACATATTGTCAGTGGGTGCTTTTGCACTGCAGTGTCAGAGCTTAGTAGCTGCATAGAGACCCTATGACCTGCAAAGTCTAAAATTATTTGCCGTTTGTCTTTTCACAGGAAGCTTGTCAATCCCTGCACCACATTATTCATTCTTTAAGAGCAGGGACTGTGTTTTTTTATCCTCGGCATCCAGTTCCACCCATGGAACACGATTTGTTGAAATAATTGATTCTTTAACTGTGGTCACACTAAATACCTCCTCTACCAGTTAGTGTCTGCCTGTCTTCTTTTATTTGTTCTCCCTGAGTCATCTAGTTCTTAAGCTCCCTGTTGTATTGGGCAGTTTGCTCACTTTGTAGTCCGGATGGCGTAACTCCCATTCCAGCAGTGTGCTCCCTGGCACCTCATCGTCTCTTGCCCCATTAGACTTCTGTTCTGTCTGCCATTCCAGTCCTCAGCCTAAGCCTACCTCTGTCATCTATTTTCTTCTCCCAGAATGTGGAATTACTTAGGAAAGTCACATGAATTCTATGTTTGCCCTGAGTTTAGTCTAAATCCATTTATTTGTCTTTCAGTGGATTCATTTTACTGCCTGTCAATCCTTTTATTATTATTCATCATGCGTTATCTGCTTTCCAGTTAGGTTTTCCCAGTTTTTCACACTTGTGTAGCCCCTAATTCTACCTCTCTCTCATTTTAAACATTTAAATATTTTTAACATTCGCCACTTGGTTTATTAAGAACATTCAGGTCCTCTCATTCAGGTTTCCACAGCTTCCCTCTTCTTTGCCGCCTCATCTTTTTTTGCCTCTAATCCTCTATAATCAACTATCTACTGTACATTTCTTCTGTGACGTCAAACTCAACATGTCAAAAACTGAGTTTATTATGTTATTCCTAAAATAAGCGTCTCCTCCTGACCTTCCTATTTCTATTAATTCATCATTACTATAGTAATTTAGACTTGAAATATCTTTGATCTCTGTTTTCCATGTCCAAATAGTCATTAAGTTCTATAAGTTATTTCTTCCCATAGTCTTATAGCCTTTTCGTCCTTTTTTATTATCAAGGCCATTACCATGGTGATCACAGCGATGATGAGGAGGACGACTGCCTTGTATTGAGTGCTTTGTATTGAAACTTTGTTTCAGACATTAATTCACATCCTGATTTTCAACTTGTTTCCCTCCCCATTGTCATACGTACTCTTATTACAATTAACTTTAGCTACAAGTGGGTGAAACCTTATAACGTATCTCACTGCCTTCTCCCGTCTTCAGTGACTATGAATGCCTAACAAGTTCCTTTTCCAAAGTGCAACATTTAAGGATTTTTACTGTTTGTCCCTAGCTTCCCCTTCTACTTTATCAATCTCTGCTCTCATAACTGTCCTATGTGCCCTTCCAAGTGAATCGTTTTGCCTTTCCCTCTTGCATCTTTTAACGCTTTTCTTATTTTGTTTTCTTGTCCCGGAAAGCTCTTTCTGCCTGCTTAGCATTATGAAAATCCATCTATTTTGTGAGGGTCAGCTCAGATGACATCTCTTCTCTGTGACAGTTACCATCCCTGTTGAAAAGGATCTCTCCCTCTTTTGGACAGTGTAGCACACTGTCATTTTATGGTTCTTATCACAAATTGCAGTCTGTTATAGCAATTTCTGTGTACATCTTTTTCACTTTTGTTATAAGCCTCTTGAAAGCAGTAACAATTTAAAAACATTTTTTTATACCCATTACTTCTAACATACTGACCTTTATGTAACACGAACTTAGGAAGTTTATGTCAAATTAATAATAAAGGTGCTTGCCATCTCTTCTACTGATTATTGTGATATTCATTTAAAAGATCTTTACTGAATGCCTGCTAAAAGACTCTCTACTATGTGCTATGAAGATTCAGAAATAAATTAGATATGGGGCGCCTGGGTGGCACAGTCAGTTAAGCATCTGACTCTTGATTTCAGTTCAGGTCATGATCTCAGGGTTGTGAGATCAAGCCCCATGTTGGGCTCCGTGCTCAGCATGGAGTCTGTTTGGGTTTCTCTCTCCACCTCCCTCTGCCCCTCCCCCCAGCTCACTGTCCCTCTCTCTCTCTCTCAAATAAATAAATAAATCTTAAAAGAAAGAAAAAATTAGATAAAGATTCTGCCTATGGGTAACTCACGGGTTAATCATTGAAAGAAGACATGGGCATAAATAGTTGTAGTGTAAGGTAGAGAGTGCTATGTGCTATGGGGGAGGTGGCCAAAACATTCTGTAGGAGCACTAGGAAGGACTTGGGCATAGGCGGTTCCTTATTAAGTTGTTCTTTGCTCTTTACAATCAGAAAGAACTTAAAAAAAAATCCAGTTAGTATTTCCTTCCCCTTTTATTAAGTAAAACAGGTTGGCAGAAAATATTTTGGAACTGGAGCCTGGAAAATTTTGATTTTTTTTTCCTATTAAAGTTGCATGAGTTATTTGATCTTCCCTTAGATCTTGATTGTGTCTTCAGAGTTGGGATGTAAATCAGCTCTCTGCAGTTTTTGGCAAGCTAGATTGGTGTTCAGTTTTCTGGACTGATGTGGGAAAGAGGTTTCTTATACTGCATCAGCATTTCCCAAAGTGTTTTCCGCTGAATACTAGCCCTGAGAGATGCTCCACAAAAAAGGGTGCCGTGGACAAATAAGTTTGGAAATTGAGGCCCACACTGCCTTCCTCTTGGTCAATCACAGTTTATTTATTTAATATTTAAAAATTCGTGTTTTTTCATTGAATTTATTTTTTGTTGAAGTATAGTTAACACACAAGGTTACATTAGTTTCAGCGTTTCAGGTGTTCAGCATAGTTTCGGGTGTACCACATAGTGATTTCATGACTCTATGCATTATGTTCACCAGAAGTGTGGTTTCCATCTGTCATCATACAATGCTGTTACAGTACCATTGACTATATTCCCTGTGCTGTACCTTTCACTCCTAGAAGCACAATTTATTTTATGATTTTTTAATGGACTTAATTTTTTACAAAGGTTTTAGATTTACTGAAGAATTAAGAAGATATTATAGAGTTCTCATAGATTCCATACCTAGTCTCCCCTATTATTAACATCTTAAGTTACTATGGTACATTTGTTATAGTTAGTGAACCAATATTAATATGTTATTATTGGCTAAAGTTCATACTTTATTTGGATTTCCTTAGTTTTAACCTAATGTCCTTTTTCTGTTCCAGGATCCCATCCAGG